ATGCCTTTAGATATCCTTGTTTCCTTGACGTGTTTATAATGGTTTGCCTATTTTAGAAGTAACAAACTCTATACGATCAGATAAAGCCCAATTTTGAGGAATTTAGGTAATCTTGTAGGCGACTTTACACAGCTTCCACCAGATCGTCATCTGCGCTACGGTGATAGAAATTGTTTATTCGAATTCAAAGAGCATGCTCTTGCGTACTGAATCAAAGCATAAATCGCAGATGACTAGATTAATGAGATGAAACAAATGGAGATAACGAACAGTATTAAAGATCAAAAGTCCACAATACAATACATGGGATCAGGTGCAATGGAAGAGTGAGCATCCCCTGCCGACCGGTCACACCTGCCGTTGGCTCCTTGTCATGATCGGGAAATAACAGAAAAATCCGTCGTCAGTTCGGTGACTAGCAGTTAGTATGAAAAACGTCAGTCAACATTTGACTCAATGATAAATTGTATTTCCTGACATGGTCATTGTATCTACCATATAACTTACAAAGAGATGACTATAAACGAGACTGTTGATATTCTTGGTTCATCAACTTGTTTATCAATGATTTACCTCGTTTTAGAAAATTTTCATACATAGAGCAGGCTCTTGCATATCGAATCAACTGAGATATATAAACTCCGTATGCAGACGATGAAGGTATATTGCTGCATAAGCAAGGGAAGTTGACAATAGAAAAGTTGAAGTCATCACGTTTATCATAGAGATTGTTGTTATATTACTATTAACGTCTTTTTCAAGTAAAATATTAAAATATGAAACAGATGTGTCAGGCTCTGTGGTATATCTCAAGCTCACCAGGATATCGTATCGACATAAGAATGGAAATCACTATTGCTAATTGACAATAGGTTGTCGATATATCTAAATGTCGAGTTCAAGGCCACAGCAAGTGTTTTCTTCTTTTCACGCATAAGATTTTGCACCAACAATTGCTTCTTATGAATATACAAAAATAGGTCTGCTTATAACGGGGGGCAATTGGTACCCATGAGAATTCTAAAAGATTGTTGGAAGACCTGGTCTCCGAAAACAACATAGATACGAGAGTTGTCCAAAAAGTTCGTGAACACTGGCGTTTTTGTTAAAATAAAAGGTTCTATATATATATCTATTGTATATCAAAATATTTCTTATGAAAAAACAAGTCAGAATGATTTAATTTTTATTGATGTAACTTAATATTTTCGTAAACATCGGGGTCTTTAAAGATCGCAGATAGTGCGCACGGACCAGTCTGACGTTAAGTTATTTTCATTATAAAATCAAACATTTGGATTTTGAATTTTAACACATATTCATGGACACAAGCTGCGTTTCTTTTTTTATGGCGCCACACTTACAAGTCTACCAATAATCCTTAAGTATAGATTAAAATTTATTTAATTTTAAAAATTCAAAACAATGCACAATGGTTTATGATCGTCATCAATATAAACAGGCTGTAAACACAAACTGCACAGCCCAGTCCGAAGCTGCGCTAGATTTATAACAACGTTAACGTCATGAATAGAAAACTCCGTTTTCAGCAAAATGCATGTGTTTTTAAATTCTTGTAGTGTCTTCGAATTAGTACACAGCGTTGAAAAAACGTATATACCAATCTCAAATCATTAAATTAAAATCATTAAATACATTTCAATAATTTTGAGTTTTTTTAATAAATGATTTGTCTCTTACGTCGTTTCAACCGTTTTAAAACATATTTTTTGATTGGACTCTAACCCGTGCAGACGGCCGACGTCGCTTTTTCTGTCGAGTTTTGACACATATTTGTTAGGGTTTTTGTTTAGTATTTTCACTGTCTATACAGAAAGCGATACTTACAATATCAGAAAATGATTATAGCTTGTTTATTTGTGTTACATATATTTTTTATTAAGTTTTGACTTGTTTTATATAGAAAATAATCATTTTAATCCGAACGCTTTTTATTAGAGTTTATGGAATTTTCACCTTGGTCCGTGCGCACTATCTGCGATCTTTAAAGACCCCGATTTTTACAAAAATATTAAGTTCCATGAATAAAAATTAAATCATTCTGACTTGTTTTTTCATAAGAACTATTTTGATATAAAATAAATTTTGCAAATGACCAATGTCACGGTAAGTAAATTTACGAGTTCAGTTTTTTATTTTAAAAGCAGCTGTTAATGGTATCAAAACGAAACGCATGGACTTTAACTTATCGTTGGTAATGGTTGTGTATAAAGTTGAAAAGTCGTAAGTTTTTAAGCTTTTGATTTTGGTAAATCTTGTGATTTCAAGTTGTCCAAAAGGTCCTTGGAATTTTTAAGTATCCACATCTGATTTTCATAGTAACATTAAGAAATGCGCTAATTCAAATCTGCGCTAACTTGTTCAAAATTCAATTTTACGCCAAATATCGTACACTCTAAAAATAATAATTTAAAGAAAGTCAGGGAAATTAACGATTGAAAAGTTGAAGTTATCAAATGAATAAAGATTTTTTGTTAGGTGACCATTAACGTCTTTTTCCCAGTAAAATTTACAATGTAATATGAAACTAGTGCTAATTGTAACGGGAACCGTTACAGATGTTCCCCAAACGCTCCCCAACTCCTTTTTGGTGCCATATTCCCTGTAAGCTTCATTAAATAAGAAAAACTCTGTGCATTTTTGACTTTAACAACGTTTTCTCAGAAGGATACCAATTATATTCAAAATTTAGCATTGCACCCGTGCGCATGTGAATGCATGTGCGTTATGATCATATCATCTTGTCTACACTATCTACATATTTTAATATACAATATATTAAAGCATTCAGTCCAAAAGTATTAAAAATCATTCTTTCAAACGTATTTTTCATTTCACTCGTTCCAAATGCATGCACGTGCGTGCACGTGCATGATGACCATACTTTTTTGTAGGAGTCCCTTATATCTATCTATATTCTAAATCCCATCCTGTTTGGTTGAAAAACAAGGGAGTTATAGCCATTTCAAGTTTAAGCCAATCAGATTGCAGCACACGTGCATGCGCGTGATTTCATGATTTTTTTTCTACATCATATTGTAATATATCGTAATGCATGACTATGTTTTAAATTTCAAAGCATTTCGTCAATAAACAAAGGAGATATAGCCATTTAAAGTTTCAGCCAATCAGATTGCAGCACGTGGGCATGCGCATGCTTTCATGAAAATTCTTATACATCACGCAGTAGATCTTCATAATGTAGGTCTATGTTCAAAATTTCAAAGGATTATGACAAGGAACAAGAAAGATATTGAGACTTTAGTTTCAGCCAATCAGAGCGAAGCGCACGTGCATGCGCGTGAGATCTTACTTTTTTGACCATGTCATTTTGTCTATCCTTCAAATACATACTTATAATATGAATTTCAAAGCATTTCATCAATAATTTAAATAGTTACGTCTGTATCAATTATATTGGACATTTCTCGTGTTGCACGTGCGAGCTCTTGCAAGCACATGTGCATGCACATGCTTTCATGATAAATCTTATATTACAGGCTGTAGATCTCCCTAATGTATGACTATGTTCAAAATTTCAAATGATTTTATAAAAAAACAAAAAAGATATTGAGACTTTAGTTTCAGCCAATCAAAGCGAAGTGCACGTGCATGCGCGTGCGATCTTGCTATTTTGACCATGTCATCTTGTGCATACTACTAATATATCTTTACATTATACGTTTCAAAACATTTCGTCACAAAATAGAAAAGTTACGGTTATATCCATTATATATTGGTCATTTTAAGTTTTGCACGTGCGCGCTCGTGCAAGCACGTGCGCGCAAAATGACCTTGATTCCGCAAATCTACATAACATGCCTACTTACCCTAAAAAGGTTTCACCTAAGTCGGATGTGTTGTTTACAAGATCACTCGCGGAAAAGATTTTCCCAGGAAGAAAAATAATAATAATAATAATAAGAATAATAATAATAAGAAACAGAGTAAAAACAATATGTTCCCCAACTTCGTTTGGGGAACATAATAAGTGTGTGTTATGTTCAATATAATTAAAAGAATTAGTACTTACATGGCACCGATAGGTCCGATTTCATCTGCAAAAGTTGCACCAAGGCATTCAAAAAACGGGATTCCAAACATTAGCGAGTAAAGCTTCCAATCATATTTTCCAAGAAAAATATTTTTACTAAATTTCATGAGTACAAATGCATTAATTGCAATGATAGATACTAGAAACATTTGGGCAGCACAAAAAAGGAATGTTATGAAACCATAGAATTCACACAGCTCAATCGGATGAACATGGTCTTTAGCTATGACCATTTGAATGTGATCCATACATTGTCCTAAGCAAAGGAAACCATCACAAAGAGCCAAATAAACGGCAAAACGTTCGCACTTTGACCATGATTTAAAGAAAGTGTGTGCAGTTTTAAACCGAAACGATATAACAAGAATAGTAAGTACCGATGTGATGCTGCATACTGAACAAGTAAGCGTCAAGATATGAATAAGATAGAAATAGGGTGTACCAAGTCCTACCACCGGAATGTTGTAGCGAGTATCTTCTTCAGAAACTGTGATGTTAAAATTCATTTTGGCTCGACGTAACTTCTACTCTTCAAGTTTATGGGCATGATTTAAAGTCCTTGCTTTTATAGCTTAACATAGTGTTGACCTTTCTTTTCATCCACTAGTTTATAATCCAGTGATCAATAGTTTATTAATTAACTGATTATTGAGTCCAATTACAATTTTTAACATAACTTATTTGAAAAAAATTCTACCTTTATATTTTTAAGTCTTTGCAAAGATGACATGGAAACATGCGGGTGTTGCTAAAACGCGGAACGGAAAACGGAACGGAACGCGGAACGGAACGGAAAACGGAATATACTATTTTGGATTAAATTATTGAAAATACACACAATTTATCATAAACGATATATTTTGTACATATTCAATCCCCCACTATCAAATACAAGTTGATTTTGTCATGCTCAGTCTCTTTTTTTTTTTTTTTTTACGAAAATCGCATATAGATTTACATATATTGCACTTATAGCAGTCACGTAAAATCGAATTTGAAAAGGGGGGATAAACGAATTTGACAAGCAAAAACACAAAAAGAAACAATTGTTTGATTCGGGAGGGGGGATAACTTCCAATTCCAGCATCTTTCAGTACTATTTTTTACACTAACTTACTACGTTAATTACATTCACAAAAAAAGTGAGGATGTCAACTTGAACGAACATTTCCGTAGTAAAAAGGTTATGACTGGGTTGATCAAATATTTGATATCTAAATGAACCATGAAAGAGAAATAAAATGTAAAAAAAATTATTAAGATAATACGTTTATGGGCAAACCTTTGCGGCAAGCTCGAACACCTCTTATACACACTGGTTGTTAGAATTTTATTCAAAATAGAGACATTTTCTATATATTTAAATTCTGGAAAGACAAAGTTGGAAAACTTTCATGTCATTCAATGAAGTTAAATTTTGTTTGCGGTACAAATGTGTGTATTTTTTTGGGGGGGGGGGGGGTGTATATGAATGACCCCGTAAAAATGAGTTTGTTTTCCCGCTCATCGGAAAGGTAGAAGTTGTATTAGGTATACCCCCCTTTTTGTGTCAAAAATATACATAAGGTTTAATAAATCAATTTTTAATGTGTCTGTGGGCCCCTACACAGACCAGAAACTGCCACTCCCCCTTTCATGATTCGCGAATTCGACACTGTGTGCAAAATCTGAATATCATAAATAGTTATTTTTGTCTTTACAGACATTGACATTGGAAACAAATTGAAAGAAAGGGGGGTCAGTAAAAATTTTCCAACATGCAACAAATTTGAGAAGCCAAAAAAAGGGGGGGATATGTCCTTTGCCCATACACGAAAATCCTATTTCGTGTGTGTGTGTGGGGGGGGGGGGTCGAATTTCTTTCAGTACCATTTTTTTACACGGAAATTGTGTATGACTCATGAATATATAATAGTTTACAATAATTTTTATCAGAAATGGTTCTTACAACAAGAATATTGCTCTTTTATCTGATTTATATCGAATCTATGTTATTTGTTTGACAAAAATTTTCCGTTTTCCGTTCCGTTCCGCTTTCCGTTCCGTTTTCCGTTCCGCGTTTTAGCAACACCCGGAAACATGCACAGTCTTCTAGTACAGTGGCGTAGCATCGTTTTTGAAAGTGGGGGGGCAGCCGGAGAAAAATTTTTTTTTACTTACCTGAAAAAGTTGACGAGCCAAAAAAAAAAAAAAAAAAAGGAAAAGTTGCCCAATGTCGAAAATCCTATTTCTTGGTGGGGGGGGGGTTAAACTTTTTCTCAGTGTCAACTACTTTTAGTACCAATTTTAATACTACATTTTCGGTACATCACTAAAAGTGGGGGCCAACAAGGCTTTCAGGCATTTCCTATAGTATAAGTAAGGTTGGGAAAAAAAGTGGGGGGGGGGGGGGGCTGGCCCTGGCCCCCCCCCCCCCCCCGGTTGCTACGCCCTGTAGTACTTATCAAAGACGGGAAATAAAAAGATGAAGGGAAACTTCTAAGGTTATAAGGCTTAGCAAACATTCAATCTGCTCAGAGAAAAACTACTGAAAGTATACAAAAACTCCATCAAATCTTAGCTTGCAAAGGTAAACATCATCATCATTAATATATCGTTGAGGTTTAAATGTGAATTACTTTTTCAGATTCTCTGAAACCACAGAAGTAGTTGATCTGTCATTTTGTTCATCCTTCTGTTCTGTTATTTCTAAACAAATAGAAAAGCTGGTGAAAGGAGGGGCCAATGTTTCTTATCTTCAATTACCGAGAGGTCTACGTCTACTGGTTTAAAAAAAGTTGGTATTAATGTAGCTGCAGAACTGTAGCTCTCTGCTTGAGAAAATTCGGACAGATACAGCAGAGAGCTACAGATCCATGCATTGTAAAAAAAAAAAATAAAATGTCGCTCATTTCGGGTATTATTTCTTGTAGTTTATGCGTTTTTACGCTCTTAGAATGGTATCCGATAATAAATCATATATTTCACTTCAATTTTTGATACTTTATTTACCTTTTCAATGGCCAGAAACAGCCCCCTATGGATTTGGAATGTCGATTTAAAAGATTTTCATTTTTACGTCCACTTCAACAAATGGCTCTTCTTGATCCGTTGAAAGGTAAATAAACATTTAGAAATAGGATTTAAATTATGGTTTATTATCGGATATTATTCATAAAGCTGGTAAAAACCTGAAATACCTGAAGTGAGCGACAAAAAAAAAAAAAAAAAAAACACCCCTCAAAGGTCTCCAGGATCTTGGCCGACCCAAAATTCAGTTCTGACATGTACTCCTCACCGGAACTTTCCTTTTGGACTACAGGATCTACCTCACCGCATCTTTCTTCCCCAATGTCATGCTTTCTTTTGAGATGCCATTTCAAGTTTTTAGCTCACCGGAGCTGAAACCTCAAGTGAGCTTTTCTGATCACATTTTGTCCGGCGTCCGTCTGTCAGTCCGTCTGTAAATTTTTTAATTTTCAACTTCTTCTTTTGAACCACTGTGCCAATTTCAACCAAACTTGCAAAAAATGCATCCTTTGGAGAAGGGTGGATTCAAGTTTGTTCAAATGAAGGTCCACACCCTTATTCAAGGGGGTGGGGGTGGGGGGTAATTCAGAAATAGTGAAAATTTGGTTGCATGATTTAAAAATCCTCTTCTGAAGAACCACTGTGCCAAGAAAAAATAAACTTATGGGGAAACATCCTCAGGTAAGTAGATTCAATTTTCTTCAAATCATGACCCCGGGGATAGGGCGTGGCAACAATGGCTGACCAAAGTTTTACATAGAAATAAATATATATAATAATTATATAGAAAAAATTCTTTAAAAATCTTCTTCTCAAGAATAGCAAAGCCATGATTGATCGTATTTGTATGGAAGCATCCTCAGGAAGTGTAGATTTATGCTTTGTATTGTCATATACAAATTTGAATTTTTTCAATTAAAATTTGTAATTTTCATATACAAATTTTAATTGAAAAATTCAAATTTTTGTAGAGGACAATATACTGCATATACGGAAATTAGTTTTTCACGACACATCGTCATTTTTTCGAGCAACAGAGTATATAGATGTTTAATTGTTATTTATCAATAAATTGTAGATTTTTTTTCTGACTTTCGTATCTTGTTCATAATTATTATGAAATTGTACATTGTAATCATGGATATAAATTAATAAGCCAAACAGGAGTTTGGACTGACCATATGTTGACATAGAATATTTACAAATGTAGTAGTAAACAACCATGCACTGAAAGAAATACCTAGCTAATTTAACTAGATTCTGTTTATTTGGTAAGATAAGGAGTAGCTGGTGTCACATGCAGCGGGGGTCGTATAGATACCTACTAACTTAGTGAAAGTTACTTATAAATTCTAAGAATATTGTAATATAGTAAATCTACCCAATACCTAGTAAAACTACTTTTAAGGTATTGATGGACAGAAAATTTATTAGTTTTCTTAGTGAATTTTACTAGTTATTTTTTCATTGTGGAATTTCATTGGTCAGTACGTTCCTGGGTTCTGCATTTGATATGCAAATTACCGTTCATTTCAATGAAATCGAACAGTCAATCGATAATAATATGATAATCAGCATACAAAATTTTAGATGTCCCGCCAAGCAAAATATCACGCTGTTCTTAAAACGATAATAAAATAAAACTGAAACCATATTTATTTATATAGCGAATGAAAATGAAGAATTATTAAGGTGCTGGTTCGGCATGTTTGCTCACAAAAGATCATCTGCAAGCTTAGCAACCACATTTCTTCGAGTAAAGCAACAAACATGACATATGAGTGACATATGAGCCCCTCTAAAACTGTCTTAAGATCCGGGCATCCATTGTTTAACGAGTATATAATCAGTACTACTAGTATCTGGTGTAACAACTCCGAAGTATTTCATGGATCTTTCGACAAGAGGATTTGATGGAATGGTTATACAAGGTCTGGTACAGCACGTTACTCCGCATTTTCAATGTACATGTAGTTCCAAATGTACTCTGTTCATCATAGGAACTAGAAATTTTTATGCCCCACTTCGAAGAAGGGAGGGCATATTGCTTTGCTGCTGTCGGTCCACTTAGTTTCCATTCATTTTCTTCACAACCGTTGCACATACTGAAATGAAATTTGGTATACAGATTTATCAGATAAATATCTAGGTCAAGTTCTGTTTTGGGTACGATTGCACCATTTTTGACAGAGTTATGCCCCTTGGACTTAGAAAAATTCCAATTATTTGCAGTTTCCTTTCATTTTCTTCACAACCGTTGCACATACTGAGATGAAATTTAGTATACAGATTTATCAGATGAATAACTAGGTCAACTTTTGTTTTGGGTACAATTGCGGCATTTTTGACACAGTTATGCCCCTTGGATTAGAGAAAATTCCAATTATTTGCAGTTTCCTTTCATTTTCTTTGCAGGGGTTGCACATACTGAAATGAAATTTGGTATACAGATTTATCGGATAAATATCTTGGTCAAGTTCTGTTTTGGGTACAATCG